GGGTATGTGGTAGGGGCAGAAGACTTGCGTCTCGATCCTGTTTGTTTTGTGTGCCCAGGTTGTGTTGAAGTGCCTGAGTTTGTTTTCTATGCCCAATATGTATATAGGTCAATAAATCATCCTTTGTTGAGTTTAAAAAGCCTGGTGTGCCTTAACCACCTAGACTCCCCCACTCTACACGTTACCAGGAGCAAAGGGAGGCCGGGGGACTCAAACGGGCCTAAAACTGCTGGGTTGCCAACCCTCCAGGGGGCGCCCAAAGATTGAGATAACCACTTCCCGAGGTGGGAAATTTAGCCAGAGGGGTCTCAGTCCCTCAAGGAAGGCGGTGACTTAATTCAGTGAGTGGTGGCAGCCGGAACGAAGAGAAATAGTCCCACCAGGCAGGGTGGGAAGGACAAAACGGGCTTGCAAGCCACAGGACGGCACCTCTGTCTCCCAGGGCTGAGGGTGGGTCCCCGTTTCGCCACAGGCTGGTTGCCAACTTCTTTGTGTTCTTTTATATAGGCAGAGACCAGTGTTCCCTCTAAGCTGAGTTACTGTGAGCTAGCTCACAGTTTTTTTTAGCCTCCGGCTCACACATTATTATCTCTAGCTCAGGAAAGACGGCTCCAGAGCAAACTAATTTATGCAGCAGCCAGATCGCTCGCTCACAACTTTAATGCCAGTAGCTCACAAAGTAGAATGTTTGCTCACGAGACTCCACAGCTTAGAGGGAGCATTGGCAGATACATTTTTCTCCCCTGTCTGCTATACAACACAGGTTGCCAGTTTGTTCTTCTGGCAGGGCGCCCATGCTTCACTGGTGACATTTTTCCCTTTGATGCATTTTCTAGAGCAAGGGTGTCAATTCAAAACCTTTATTGGCATGGATCAGAATCATAAACAGTCAAAGCAAGGGTGTCAAACATGCGGCCCGTCTAAGACAGAGATCATCTGGCTGGGAGGTCTTCCAACTCTTTTTTTTTATTTTTTTTATAAAGTTTATTTACAGTTTTTCATCTTATACATACATACAATTATCTCCTGTTTACTAGTCTTTTGGGGGTACTTTACAAATTTTTCTCATACCACTTTATGGCTTTATGCCATTTCTGGTTAAAATTATCCTCTGATTTTCCAGCCAATAACATATTCAGTTTATCCATCTCTACTACCTCAAACTCTTGACGGGGTCCAGCTTTCATTACTGGACTCTGGTGTCTGGTTTGACTCCTCCTTCTCCCTGGACAAGCAGGTATCAGCAGGGGCAATGACGGCGTTTTTCTATTTGGGCCAAGCCCTGTTAGATTCACTGGTACAGTACAGCCACTAGCAGGAGCAGCTTCTCAGTACTGTGTGTGCTAGCAAAGTTACAGACTTACACGGAGCCACTTGTCAGTTTCAAACTAAGAAGAGTTCCTTATTTAGGGGACTCCATTGTAGATAGTACACGTGAGAGATAGGGTTGGAATCGAATCTAACTAGCTAGGATGGATGCAGATGCAGAATGCCCTGCATCCATAGTGGATAGGGTTGCCAGGTCTTCTTCTCTCACTGGCGGGGGGGGGGAGGGAGCTCTCAGGGAGTGGGGTCGGGGTGGGGCGCCATCACCGTGTGCGATGTCCCCAGCATGATGACATCACATGGAAGCAACTCCGTCATGTCGGGGATGCCGCACAGTGACGCTATGGTATTTTGGGCAAAACTCTAGGGATCTTCGCCTGGTATTCACCCAGGATGAGGGCCTTCTTTGTGGTGGCTCCGTCCTGGTGGAACCAGCTGTCAGATGATACATGGGCCTTGCCCTGCGGAACTTATCTAAGTTCCGCGGGGCCTGCAGAGCAGAGCTCTTCCATTTAGCTTTTTATTAGACGGGGTCTGTGTATGTGGGCCGCCTTTTAGTTTTATTTGTATTATGTTTTTAATTATCTGTTCATATTTGCACTGTTGTTAGCCACCTTGAGACCACTTGGTGGCGAGCGGCAGCATATAAATTTAACAACAACAACATGGCCCTTCAAAAACTTGGTCTTTGCAAAGCGTTTTTTCAGAATATATAAGAACATCAGAGAAGCCAATGTTGGATCAGGCCAATGGCCCATCCAGTCCAACACTCTGTGTCACACAGTGGCCAAAAAATACCAGGTGCCATCAGGAGGTCCATCAGTGGGGCCAGGGCACTAGGCCCTCCCACTGTTGTCCCCCCCTCCAAGCACCAAGAAGACAGAGCATCCCTTGCCGCAGACTGAGAGTTCCTGTCTATACCTTCTGGCTAATAGCCACTGATGGACTTCTGCTCCATATGCTTATCTAATTCCCTCTTGAAGCTGTCCATACTTCCTTTTATCCGTTCTAAGCAATTTCGTTGAGTGCCCATGACTTCCTGTATTGTGAGAAAGCGAGAAAAGTACCTCTTTCTCGACCTGCTCTATCCCAGGCATAATCTTATAAACCTCGATCATGTCATCCCTCAGCCATCGTTTCTCCAAGCTAAAGAGCCCCAAGCGTTTTAACCTTTCTTCATAGGGAAAGTGTTCCAACCCTTTTATCATTCTAGTTGCCCTTTTTTGCACTTTTTCCAAAGCGATAATATCCTTTTTGAGGTGCGGTGACCAGAACTGTACACAGTACTCCAAATGAGGTCGCACCATAGATTTAGACAGGGGCATTATGACACGGGCTGATTTGTTTTCAGTTCCCTTCCTAATAATCCCCAGCATAGCATTGGGCTTTTTTTATTGCAGTTGCACACCGTCTAGGCATTTCCACATGCATTCAGCCAACCTTCCTACAAACCTGCAAAATAAGCCACATTATAGTCCCAGACTGGGAGGAGGGGTGTTTTGGAAGCGGGAGCTGTGGAGTAGGTGGGGTGAGTCAAAGAGCCCATTTCTTAGGGCAGCACACTGCTCCCCCCCACACACCTCCTCTTTCTTCTTCCTCTTCTCACTGAACCCCTGGGCAGTTACAGGTTTGGGAGAACACTGTCAACAGTCTGGCTTTCGAGTTTCTTCTCCTCGCCCCTTGAATTCCCCAGGCAGAGACCCTTTTGTTGCGAGGAACAGCCAGCAGTTCCGAGGGCCTGGAAACGGAGATGAGCACCGCAACCCTAGAGTCAGATTCGACTGGTTTTCGAGCAAGGGAACCTTTAAAGGTAAAGGTAAAGGTTTTTTTAAAGGTAAAGGTAAAGGTTCCCTTGCTCGAAAGCCAGTCAAATCCGACTCTAGGGTTGCGGTGCTCATCTCCGTTTCAAAGCCGAAGAGCCAGCGCTGTCCGAAGACATTTCCGTGGTCATGTGGCCGGCATGACTAAACACCAAGGCGCACGGAACGCTGTTACCTTCCCACCGAAGTGGTCCTTATTTATCTACTTGCAATTTCTTGCTTTCGAACTGCCTGGTTGGCAGGAGCCGGAACTAGAGACGGGAGCTCACTCCATCATGCGGCACCCGGGTTTCGAACTGCTGAACTACTGACCTTCCACAGCCTGCAGTTCAGCATCTTAACCACTTGAGCCACCGCAGCTCCTTAAGGGAACCTTTACCTTTTATATAAATGTTGGTGTCAAGTATTATCAACATTTTGACAACAAGTGGTTTCCAATACTGGACTTTTTATCACAGAAAGAATGTATTTCTTCTGAATGGTCACGATTGCAAGAATGGTTATGAAACTTCACCTTCCCCCCCCCCCATGTATTGGTCCTTCTGTACTGGTCTCCGTCCAGACCTTCCGTGAGATACGCCTATACTTTTACTTCTAACACTAGAATTTATAAGCAGGTA